CTCTCTCGCTAAATACATTTGACATAATTTCTCTGATGTCTGCTGCTTTAATAACTCCTGCATCAAAACCCAACACACTGTAAATGAATGTTATAGTTAATAAAGTCTACAGTATCTGTGATCAACTTTTTCTTGGCAAGTGTTTCTTCTCTCTGATGCCGCAATACTCCCTGTATTTTTTCTTCTTCTTTTTTTGTTTAAATAATATATACACTTGTTTATTCATTCAATAAAATCCCCATAGTGCGGGTTTCACTTGTACAACACTTGGAAAGGGTAGCGTTCCTTTAATCGGAAATTCCTATTTGACATCAAACAAGTGGCAGAGGTGGCTGTTGCGGTCGAATGCTGTCTGTGTGTTGTGTAAATATGCATTCAAGCTTTTCAGGAATATATGTGTCGTGGGCTCTGCTCATTGAGTCACATTTACTGCAGGGTTAGAGATTAATGATAATACAATGGAAGCACATACGAAAGATTGGATAAAAACTTAAATCCATCCCCAGAAACTCAACAGTATCCACAAAAAGAAAACTTTGAAACATTACATTTGAAAAGCTAACTGTGTGACTACAGACAAAGACATTTATATAAAAGAAAGTAATTTGAAAAATATAAAAAAATAACTTAATATCAAATTGTTTATCCCGGCAAAAATCTCTAATTATTGCACTGAACAAACGCTGACTTTAATTCAATATATTATTTCAACAGATAACTGTATTAGGTTAGTTGAAAGCAATAATATTAAGTTTAAACATAAATTATCAGGTTTAACTTAAATATTATTGCTTTCAACTAACATAAGTTATGTGAATTATGTTGATATACTGTAATACATTTATTAAAGTCAACGTTTCAGCTTTTCAGTGTGTATATGTGTGTACATGTAATATAAATAACACCAGATTTAAACCCAGAATTTTCCTTAGGGATGAATAAAAGTCTGTTTGTTTTCTGGTCAGTTCTACAATAATACTCTTAGATATCCAAAAGTCACTGAGCAGTAACTAAACTAAGTACTAGCATCCCACAGTGGTGAAGCCCTTCAGATGTGTTTTGTTTTGTCACATATTTGTACCATTTATAAAAAATAGTTTTGCATTACTTGAGGAAAAAAACCCTCACATGCCACTTCTTCTTTCTTTGCAGCTCTATCTGCCAATACAAACGCACGCTAAATTAAACCCAAGATGTATTTACATTTGAAATTGTTGCTACTTTGTATTGTTTATTTTGTGGTTCATTGATATATATAAATACTCATAATTAAAGAATTACAACCTCCCTCCCACAATTTAGTTATAAGAAATAAATTATGTTGTTTTCACTCTGCAGGTGCGAGCATGGAAATGTTGACTCAGGTCCTTTCAAAGTAAAACCAGCCGGGTATGGAAAGTCTGAAACATTTGAGTGGTTGATTTATCGAGCAATCTGCACTAATTCATTGGCACAATATCTGTCACTGTCGAATAAAAGCGTTTCGCAAATTCATAACATCACTGCAATCCTCATTCAGAGCCTGATTGATGCCTTGTTTGTGCAGTAAAGTACGATAAACCCCTCTCTCTCTTTCGTGGCTTTGTGCTCAATTCCCCCCTGTAGCAAAATGTCAGAGCAGGCTGGCACATGCTCAAAATAAGATACAATATTGCAGTTTATTGATGACTTAAATAATAATAAGAAAAACTTCTCCGAGGCCACCTCGCCCCGTAAAACAACAAGGAATAAAACATCTTAAGTGTTCCCATTCAACATCATTATTGACATGACAGCTTATTCTTAGTGAAATGGGCCTGTTGCATGCTTCTCTGACACTTTTCATTATCACCTGCACAAAAGGAACATTGAAAGAGGAGGAGGAGGAAGGGGGGGAGGGGNTGAAAGCTGACAGTATCCCCAAGCTCATTCATCATAGCTGAAGGTATCTGCATCATGCATTAGAGTCAATAAAGGCAGGTGAAACTGGAGCTGATTTCTTGCTAAATTCTGGCATTAGTCACAGGCCCATATTTCAGGAATAGCCAATCCTTAAAGGGGTAATCGTTGCACGGGGG